ACAGCCCATCCGGCGTGACGAAAGCTGTCTTCTCTCGGTCCCGTTCGTCGACTTCGATCTGCCAGTAGCCGCTCTTCAGGTCCATCGATGAGAAGTATCGAGAGTGGCGCAGCCGGTCTAACGTGTCGTCGATTCGGGGGAGTGGGTAGACGTCTTTCTTCGTCACCGCGTTCAGCTGCCGGTAGTCCACGCAGAACCGAAGCGTTCCGTCCTTCTTCTTAACCAGTACGACTGGAGAGGCCCACGGACTGCTTCATGGCTGGATTATGTCGTCGTTCAGCATCTCTTGAACTTGCTCCTGGATCACCTCCCTTCTTTAACGGAGACTCTGTACGGTGATCGATGCACAGGGCGCGCGTCGTCCTCGGTAATGATGCGGTGCTTCGCAACAGCTGTTTGGCGTACCTTCGACGACGTCGCAAAGCAGTCACGGTATTCGGCGAGGAGGTTAATCAGCTATCGTCGTTTCGGTTCCGGAAGCTTAGGGTCGATGTCGAGTTGCGCTGGCGACGTACCGTCTTGCTGAGGGGGCGAGGACTCAACAGTAATGGCGGCGATTTCGGCGGAGTTTCGGAGATCCTCGACGTGGCCAACGGCTGCACCTTTCGTGAGGTGTTGAGTTTCATTCCGGAAGTTCGTCACGAGGACCACAGTGCGGCCATCCTGAAGTTCAGCTACTCCTCGTGCGACGCCTATTCCTCTTCCCAGGAGCAACTGGAGGTTACCTTCCAGAAGAACTTCGCTACGGGTAGCTGCATCGGTCACGACGGGTACGACAACACTTGATCGCGGCGGCAGATTCACGTGGTCGGCAGCGACTCGGACGGCGGCTGACGCAGTTTGGAGTTTCTCTGAAGGCGGAACAGGTGTCCGCAGCGTCAATCTGTTTTCTCCAAGGTCGATGACGGCGCCGTATTCAAGCAAAAAGTCCATGCCGAGAATGACGTCTCTGGAACAGTCTTGTAGAATGACGAATTTCACAGGACACGTCTCGCCGTGAATTTCGACGCGAGCGGTGCACCGTCCGACAGGCGTGATGAGGTGTCCTCCGGCGGTTCGTATCTGCGGTCCATCCCACGGCGTCGTGACTTTTCGAAGGTGGCGAGAGAGCCTCCCACTCAATACTGAGTAGTCTGCCCCGGTGTCAACGAGTGCCGATGCGTTTTGGCCATCGATAACGACGTATAGGTTGCTGGACACCGTTGCAGGCGCGTCGGTGCAATGCGGGGCGTCGAGAGAGTGGGAGCGCTCCGGCGCCCTTGGAGGCTGTTTGCTTCCGTCGTTTTCGGCAACATCACCTCCAGGCGTTGCCGCCCTCAGTTTTCCCGACGACGCAGGGGAGACAGGCTCTCTCGGCGGGATCGTGGCGCTGGGGAGGCTGAACGTCTTGGCGATGGGGAGCGGGCTTCACGGCGGAGAGACGACACTGGGGAGGGTGAACGTCGGAGGTACTCCTCGATGTCGCGAGGGCGTTCGCCGTACCTCGGGCGTCGATCGTTCGGGTGGAATCCACGGAGGCCCATTTGCCGGTAGGGACAACGACGGTAGATATGGTCGGCCTCCCCGCAGTTGTAGCAGATGGGTCGTCGATCCGCTGTCCTCCACACGTCGGTTTTCCTTGGCGCCTGCTGTTCTCGGCGGTCGTACTGACGTACAGTACTTCGTCGTTGCGTCGGGGGTACGCCTGCGTTGATGGGTCTCGTCGTGGCGCCACCGGGTAGTGTTGAGCAGCTGGCGACGGTCCTCGGGCCACTGCGGCGTAGGTCAGCGTCGGCTCATCGGCTGCGGCCACGCTGGCAGGAGTCTCCGGTTGAATTGCGCTCTGAACTTCTTCACGCACCACTTCGGCTATCGACAGCGAAGCTGGCTCGTTGGCAGCAGGCAGTAGCTTCCTGAGTTCTTCCCGGACGACGTCCCGGATGGTGTCGCGGATGTCCTGGATGCTGCAGTTGGACGCCGAGAGGGCAGCGAAGCCGGGAAGTCTCTGGTAGCGTGAGGCCCGTGCGTGAAGGGCGCGTTCGATGTTGGTGGCCTCAGTAATGAAACCCTGGACAGTCGTAGGCGGGCTCCGCACGAGGCCCCGAAAATGTTTTCTTTGACGCCGCGCATTAGGACCCGCAACGTTTTCTCTTCGGGAGCGTTTGGGTCGGCGCGGTTCATGAGGCGGAGAACGTCTTCGACGAAGCTTGTGACGCTCTCGTTTGGCCCTTGGTGTCTTGCTTGGAGGAGTTCTTCGGCACGCAGTCGTCGCTGCTGGTTGGTAAAGGTGCGTCGCAGCTCGGCCTGGAACTCTTCCCACGTCGAAATCGACGCTTCGTGGTTCTCGAACCAGGTGCGCGCCGTGCCTTCCAGAGCGAAGTAGACGTTCTGAAGGCACTGCTCTGGTGTCCACTGGTTATGGCGGGCCACTCGTTCGTAATGCTGTAGCCAATCCTCCACATCCTCATGGGCCTCACCATGGAACGGCGTCGGGTTGCGTGGGGCGACGGGCATGAAGACGACGGATGGAGCGGTCGGGGTCTGCGGCGACTGGTTGTCCATCGTCGTCCATCGTCGTCCTGTTTGACTGCACGGTCCTGGGTGGCAAAGGTCCAAATTCCGGTTGTAGGCCTTGAATGCGGCGACTTAATCGAGTCTCGGGGGTGTCTTCGTCAGGTCTTCGGGGGCTTGCTCTCGGACTGGAACTGCGGGCCCTGTGAGGGGTACGCTGCAGGGACATGCGCTACCCCGCACCTCCACCAAAATGTCACCGGTGGTGACCAAAAATAACAAATAAACAGGAAGAAATAAACGTTTAATGTGGCGAACTTGTGCCAAAAATAAAAGAGTACAAAAGATAATAATAGAGCGTCGCGGGCGTCGAAGTCGGCGTGGCAGCAGAGTCGAACGCTGGGGCGAGACTGACTCCGTTCGCCTGGCGGAATCCCTAATGTACCCTCGTGGGTTTCTGGATCGTTCGGCGTAGAACGTTCGGCGCGTAGAACATTCTAACCTCGAGTTAGCAAGACGGTTCTCGAATTCACCAGAACCTTACATTACAGTGTCAACAAAAATGTGCCTCCGTGGCCAGGAATCGAACCCTGGCTTTCAGCGTGGGAAGCAAGCGCGATAACCGTTAGGCCACGGCCGCGCTGCCTACTTGGCGCGCGGCAATATGATTGTTTTCGCGACATGGTGTGGCAAAATCAGAGTGCGCGGTGACATAAGCGTCTTCGTACGGTGCAACTGCATAAAGTGCCAATCGTTGCAAACTTAACGTATACAGATAAATTGCTTAGTTAAGGTTAAAAAAAAGGAATAACGTATTAGTGTATGAAGTAGCTTCGATTGTACACCTACACTGCCGGACGGTCGGCGTGGATATAGTAATTTTGCATGGACACGGCGTGCATTATTCAGCCTTAAGATATACTTATTGTTAGCGATACAAATACTAAGAATCCTAAATAGTTTCGTTTGGCATTATATTATATGAATTAAAACCAGCAAATCAAATGCCCCAAAGAAAACACGCGACAATTGCATTTAAGACCAAAGAGATGCTATGCTGTTATATAAAGGTTATTGTTGTTGGGTAGCTCAAAGGAAAGTAATTGATAAATAATTGCATTACTTTCTAAAAGTCATTTAAGTTGCAATATAACTACTTTTTTTTCCAGTAGTAGTTCATATTGGTAATTACCTTGTTTCGGACAAGGGTATAGTTTGTCTTTTTATTTAGACCACAGGTCTGGGAGGCTGGAGCAAAAGGCGGCAAACGTTGTAAATATAATTGAATTACATTTACAAAGTAATTGACCCAAGTATGCTGCAAGGCAGATTTATAACCCCTAATTTTCTTCGGTTTATGTCCACCATTTTGAACAGTTCAACTGCCTGTTAGAGGAGTTCAATTACCAATTTGAACAGGTCGACCACTAATTTGAGCAGTTAGCTACCAGTTTGAACAGTTTTACCACAACTCGAAGCTGTGCTACCAGTTTGAAGAACAGTTCGATATTCAGTGTAACCAGTTCAGTCACCATTTTGAACAGTTTGAATACCAGTAGGACCAGTTCTGCTACCACTTTCACCTGTCTAGCACTCAGTTTAGCCTGTTTAGCAAGTTCCGCTGCGTGTTTTGCAGGTTTTGCTGCCTGTTTGTTTTCCAAGTTCGCCTGCCAGTTTTTGTCAAGTTTGCTGTTTGTTTGGCAAGTTCTGCTGCCTGTTTGGAAAGTTTTGCTGCCTGTTTAGCAAGTTCCATTGCCTGTTTGGCAAGTTCGGCTGCCTGTTTTCCAAGCTAAGCTCGCCTGCCAGTTTTTTCAAGTTTTGCTGCCTGTTTTGCAAGTTCGGCTTCCTGTTTGACAAGTTTTTCTGCCTGTTTAGCAAGTTCCATTGCCGGCTTGGCAGGTTTGGCTGCCTATTTGTCAAGTTCGGCTGCCTGTTTGGCAGGTCAAGGTGCCCAGTTTGCTACGTTAATGTTCGAATTCGGCCTGTTTGTTTTCCTATATTGCCAGTTGAATCAGTTCGATTTCTTTTTCGCCCAGTTCAAATTCGGGTATGCCGGGTTTAGAATCATACTATTTTTTCAATGTCCCTGAAAACGTCGAAGTTATGTTACAACATCATATGGATATCCCATAGACGTTACTCAAGCCGTCTCGTTTGGGTTAAGTTGCATCCATAAAAGGGCACCGAGTTGGATCAAAAGTCACTGTGATTATGCTATCGAGAGCTGGAGAAGTGCAGGGATATTTTCACGGAGTTATAAAACTAAAAATAGTTACATCGTACTTAGTTGAGTGCGTAGACAAGGGTCGATTTGCCAGTTCCATAAGGCTATCTGCTCGTTGAAACCGGAACACGGCCGTATCGGGAAACTCTAGAACTGTAATTGTGAGTAAAATGAGATCACAAGCATTGTTAGAAACGGAAACGATATTTATTCTCGCGTTTTCATCTGGATTTCAACCGTAGAATCTTCCGTGTCCGCCGTAGGATCCGAGCCCGCTGTATCCTCTTTACAGTCCTCCATGACTCAGACTGCTTCCATATCCGCGCCCGAAGCCGCTGTGGCCACCGTAGCCGCCGTAGCCGCTGTAGTCGCCGTAGCCAGGGTTAGCCGGCGTAGCTGCCGTGGCCGCCGTGGCCGCCGTGGCCGCCGTTGCCGCCGTGGCCGCCGTGGCCGCCGTGGCCGCAGTGGCCGCCGTGGCCGCCGTAGCCGCCGTAGCCGCCGTGGCCGCCGTAGCCGCCGTAGCCGCCGTGGCCGCCGTGGCCGCCGTGGCCGCCGTGGCCGCCGTCGCCGCCGTCGCCGCAGTGGCCGCCGTGGCCGCCGTCGCGGCAGGGGCCGCTGTGGCCGCCGTCGCCGCTGTCGCCGCAGTGGCCGCCGTGGCCGCCGTGGCCGCCGTCGCGGCAGTGGCCGCCGTGGCCGCCGTGGCCGCCGTAGCCGCCGTAGCTGCTGTAGCCGCCGTGGCCGCCGTAGCCGCCCTAGCCGCCCTAGGAGCCCTAGCCGCCGTAGCCGCCGTTGCCGCCGTTGCCGCCGTAGCCTTCGTTGCCGGCGTTGCCTTCGTGGCCGGCGTAGCCTTCGTAGCCGGCTTAGCCTTCATAGCCTTCGTAGCCGCCGTGGCCGCCGTGGCCGCAGTGGCCGCCGTAGCCGCCGTAGCCGCCCTAACCGCCCTGGCCGCCGCAGCCTCGGTAGCCTCGGTAACCTCGTAGCGCCCGTGGTTCCCGTAGCCTCCGAGCACGCCGGCAAGGGCGCCGGCAACAGCCATGATGAGGAGTGTTAGAGAAAGCTGCAGGTTAATTCCATGTTGAGTTTAACAAGTCACAAGATATCGAGTATTAATTGGGATGATATATGCAGTGAACATAATCCAATGTATGTTATGACATATTTATGATAAAAATCAAACGATGCTATGATGAAGCGTTTCCTATCAGAGATGTGAGAAAACACAAGAAAATAATAAAAAAAAACATGGATAAATAAGGATATGTACAAAAGAATGAACTATCAAAATAAACTTTATGATACTTTTATCAAAACGAGAGATGAAGCGGTATTACGGGAATATAAAAGACTATAAAATAAGCTGAATGCAAATATTAAAAAAAGCACGCAAGCAGTACTATGACAATAATTTTGCGTCAATTTATAACGACCCACAGCAAATATGGAACAATCTAAAAAGTCTTATTTCGGAGACCCCCACGATGCCTTACCTAATGAACTAATAATTTGATTGTGATTTATATTCAAACATGTCCTTGGCCAACAAATTTAACATTCATTTCTTAGATGCTGGTGCCTCATCATGCACATTGAGTAGTAATTCTGATCTATACCTGTCACCAATTCAAAGTGCGAACTCAGTGTTTCTTTGCCCTACGACAGAAACATAGATAATACAGATTATTCTGAACTTAAAAAATAACACAGCAGCTGGGGTAGACGATATCAAGGCAGTACCGATAAAAGCAGTTTCTCATCTTATCAGTCTTCCACTGACACATATTTGCAACGCTGCTTTATCAACTGGTACATTTCCACAAAGAATGAAACTTGCGAGAGTGTGTGTTATACATAAAGGAGGCCCGCGCAACAATATAAACAACTACAGGCCAATTTCAGTACTCCCACTATTTTCTAAAATCCTGGGACAAGTAATTAATGTTATGCTTTCTAAATATCTCGAGGAAAGACAAATAATTGTGAAGGTACAGTATGGTTTTAGAAAAATAAATTTTCAGAAAAGGCTCGATTACATATTAAAGATAAACTGGTCAATAGTATTAAAAGTCAGCTATACCACCGTGGGAAGTTTCTTAGACTTCCGCATGGCGTTCGACTGGATTAAACACAACATCCTTCTAAAAAAACTGATGCATTATGGTATAAGGGGCACAGCTTGGGATTTAATTTGCAGCTATTTATCGAACAGATCGCAATACGTAAAAATTAATGAATTCAAATCTGAACCAAGAAAAATAAATTATATATGGTGTACCCCAGGGGTCAATGCTCGGACCATTGCTTTTTCTACTGGGTGATTTCATTTGAATTCGACCAAACTTGTCGGGGGGGGGGGGGGGGGGGGGTCTTTAGATTTAATCGTAAAAAATATATATGATACCCGATCCTTGTGATGAAAGAAACTGCCTTTGAAAAAAATTAGAATTGTAAAGTTTGAGAGAAAAAAAATTCTGAGGCGCTGCAGGGTAGAAAACGTCAAATTCCCAATTTGATTTTATCTCGACTTTAGCCGCCATTTACAAAATATCGAATTCTTGCAGAATTATTGTATTTATTACGCAATATTTACGCAGAATTGGCTATTTTTAGAGGTAAATTTTTGTCTTCTGTTATTTTAAATTAATTTTCTAAAAAATCTCAAACATGCAACCTAGAGCAAGTGTGACGCAACTTCAGACAGCTATATAAAACGAACGGTAGGGCGCAATGACGTGAGACAGATATCTGTGCGTAGCTATCAATGTAAGCTATCGATTGACATGTATTTTCTGGTTATTGTGTTTACCGTGTTGTTTTTATTCTGCCACAAATATAGACAAAAATGAAAAATATGCAAATTTTGAAGTCAATTTTCTCAAAAAAGCCATTTTTTATTTCGTTCATACTTTTTTAATTTATTGCCCAGATTCTGCTTAATAACCGGGTATAAATATTGCTTGACCTTTTTTTGTTGTAGTTTTAGGACAACCAGTTGAATAAGTCATTTTTATCGCGTAATACCAACCTCCGGCTCCGGTATGCGGGCTTCACCGCAACATTGATAATTGGCTCAGCAATATCAGATTTCACTGACAACCACTTTACCTCGTTGCATTCCTAGTAATATACTTTTTACAAAAAAAAAGAAATGTCACAAAAAAATGACAGAAGGCAAGTGGCGTAGGCATATTTTTTTTTCTCTTTCAAACTTTTTTAATTGATTTCCCGTGTGTTGCTTACCAGCTGGGTATGCACGTTTTCTGGCGCTTTTCTTTATGTTTGTTTTTACATCAAAAGAAAGAGCCATGTTCGTTACATCAGTTGCAACTGGTCCAGTTGTTAGGTGAAGTATAGGTTCAGTAACCTCTTCGCGAGCGCCAGCAAAAGGCTGCGATTCTTATCATGAAGATTACCATGCGACTCTTAGTTGACCTCGGCGTGCGCCGTTGCAAGAGGGTTATACTAATCTTGTTAGAGTGGAACTCGCGTCGTCACAGGCTGTCGCAATGCATCACAGCGAAGTGGAACTGTGTGAAGCAGTCCTTGTCCTTCTCCCAATAAATTTATGGGCGGAAGCTCGAGACTCTTTGGTGCCCGAAGTTTCTGTAGCTCGGCTGGGTCAAGTTTGTCAAAAGGAGAAAACAAATGCAGTAAACACTAGACATTATCACGCCGGTCGATGGAGTCGTAACTGTATACATACAGCTTTTGCGGATACTTATTTGTTTCAAGGGTGGCAAGTTATCACCAGTACAAACATGGCCACAGTGTCGGCAAGAGCATCAGAACAAAAATGAAGGTTTGGTTGGCTTATCATTTTGTGTCTTCGTTGCAGCGCTTTTCTCCGGAACTAATGTTTGTAGTCCTCTTTGAGCCCCTGGTGCTATGGTCTGTCTGTTTCTCTTATCCATTATTTATTTTTACTTGTAAGCGAATAACACGCACCATGACGTTTCTGGCGTCCTTAGGTTGATTCGGTAATCAGTGTCTATATTTGACAAACTCATCTAGTATAAGAGAATAAAAAAAATATAAGAAGAGGGCTTGCAGCAATGAATTTGTATATGAGAACTGCGGAACTGCGTCGAAAGCAGAAAGCCGGAACCTCCCGAGGAATGAACGCGTTATTTTGAACTCAGTCATGGCTGCAGTTTTCAGCTTTAAAAGAAAGAGTTGCGCGGACTACTTCGAGAGACATAAGCGAAGGGTATACCGCAACCGACGTTTTCGTTATGTCACCGATCTCAACGTAGACGCCTTGAAGATGATCCTGCCTGCATCGAAAGCCGCGGCTCTTGCGTTGGATGACGTGCTCTGCCAGAACTGCTTCCAGTACACCGGTGAGAAGCTTTCATCATCTGTCAGTGATCCATGCTCGAGCTCTCCAGCAAGCTGCATCGAAGAGCACGAAGTAGTGGAAGGTCTTAACGAAGAGATTTCTGCTGCTGGGCTTGAAACAACTCCTTTGCGCATGCCTTCTACAGTAAACCCGAAAAGCCGTCAGGCATATGCTGAAAGAAAACAGCGGGAGATTGAAGGATCACACAGCCGACAGGTACGAAAAAAGTTGGCGACTGCATATACCTTGGAGCCAAGTGGGTCAAGTTCTCGCAGTGATCAACCATGCCTCGGCTGCGACGGGTGGTGGGCAAACATCACAGAGGCCTTTGTGAAGGCGGCATCTTACCAGGAGAGATGTCAGCTCCTCACGCTTGTGCCCAAGGGCGTAGCCACTAGGGAGGTAGAACGGCTAATTCCTGAGGCATCGAAGTACCTTCTGAAGAAATCAAAGCAGCTTCGTGAACGGTTCGGCGTATGGGAGCGTCCGGAGCCTTATCACGGTGGAAGCATAAGCGAGGACACCATACGGGCAGCCACGCAATATTACACCGACGACGATCTCGACTGTTCTCGGCAGAGCCCAAACAAAAAAGATGCTGTTAAGCTTCTGAAGGATGGCGAAGAACATGTGGTCGTGAAGCGGTATATGACAAGGTCTGTCCGAGAGACGTACAGGCTGTTTAAGGAAGCAAACCCGGACTCAAAATTAGGTCTGACTAAATTTTACTCGCTGCGGCCAAAGTGGGTCAAGCTAAACCCTGAACAGACTTTCTGTGCATGTGTGTGCTGTACGAATTTCGATTTGTGCTTTTCCACCCTGAACAGCATGCGAGAAGAAAAAATAACAAAAGAGGAGATTCTCGCTTTGTGCCTCTGCCCTGAACCCTCGTCCGAATGTTTCAGAGGCGAATGCAAAGACTGCCCCTCGACTGACAGACTCTCCTTAGAATCATTGGAAATGGTGTCTGAAGAGGAAATTACATTTTTCACATGGGAGAATGGTAATTTGATAAGCAAGACTGCCGACTCCAGCGCCTTTTTGAAAGAGCTACAGAAATGGGCCACAAGGTTTTCCACGCACGATTTTATTCGTAGGACACAACGGGAAGGGATACGGATTGAGAAGTCTAGTGTGACCTCAAGACACATCGTCATGCACTTCGATTTGGCGGAGAACTGGACGGTAATTTTGCCACACGAGATACAGGAGTACCACTGGCACAAGCGTCAGCTCTCTGTGTTCACGTGTGTGGCATCCACGTCGCAAGGCTCAAAATGCTTCGGCGTTGTCTGTGAGGACTTATGTCATGACACTTCCCATGCGCTGCTGGCTCTGAGACTTATAGAAGATTGGCTGGAGGAGCACATCCCAGTTTATGCTTCACTAACGTACATATCCGACGGGGCACCTGCTCATTTTAAAAATAGATTTCAGCTGCATGAGTTCGAACGAGTGGGCCATACCCAATTGAAGTGGATATTTTCTGCCTCTGGGCATGGTAAAAACTCTTGTGACGGGGTTGGAGGGCTTCTCAAACACCACGCAACGGTGCACAACCTCCGTTCACCGGAGGAGCAGCTCGTCCGAACATCAGTAGATTTTGTGGACAAGGTTGGAAGGCGTGTCAAAAACGTAACTCTCATGAACTTAACCGAGAAGGAGGCGAGTGACTTCCGCAGAATCAAGAAAACAGAGTGGAGTTGCGTACCGACTCGGAA